GTGTAGATGAACAATGGGATCAAATTAGGAGAACACTGCACTCCGCCGCCAGGGTTGCTTGTAGATCTGAGCTTCAAGCCCGTTCGAGACATTGAATATCTGATCAGTCAGTAGTACTGATGGAGAAAAAGCGACGAATCCCGAAAACCCAGAAACAAAGCAGGAGGTGGCGTATGAAAAGGCAGCTCACGGAAAACTGACAAATGGTGGGCAAACAGAGCCCGTGAAATGGAAGTAGCACCAACATCAGGGAATAGTCAGAGTGTTCCAACTGATACGCAACACCAGAGATCAGCGAAACAGTTAGTGGAACAATATACGACAAAAGTGAACAATCTATTTACAATAGGGGACAACGACTTGACCGGTGGGTGGAGTACTTCAACGAAAAGATCAGTCGTAGACTTCATTACCGATTGAATTGCATCGACCAGATCTTCACTCTGCGTCAAGTCCTCGAGCTACACCACACGCACCGACGACCAACGGTTGTCGTGTTCCTTGACTCAAAAGGAGCCTTCGAATCCCTTATGGATTCTCTCCTTCGCAAACAATGCCGCAGAAGTACGTAAAGATATGGAGTTTACTCTACTCGCATACTTCTGTTTTATTACACATTTGTGTGGTGAACAGCAGACGGGGCGAACCCCGTAGTTACGAAGATCTGCTGTTCCATCATGGAAGCCGGTAGCCTAGGCCCCAGGACTTGGATTGGCGAACAACATAAAGCCCTGATAGGTTAGGCGTGGTATTGAACCGAACGACAGCAAAGCTGCCTACCACCAAAGGTGGGTGGCGGGGCTCGAACCTCGGACCATAGGGCTCAAAGCACGCCAGTGACAGTGACTAAACCACTGCGCCACCACTACCCTAGTAGCGTAAGAGTCTACGGCGAGCTGAGTAGGTCGTTCGTAACTAGCAATGGTATTCGTCAAGGGTGCCTTCTTTCGCCATTCCTTTTCAATTTCGTCGTAGACGAAATACTGAAGAACACATTGAGTAGTCTCCAAAATGTTGCTATTGGATGGGTAGGTGGAGAAAAGCTGTGCGATTTGGAGTACGCTGACGACATCGTTTGCCTGTTGAAATGTATGAAGGATGCACAAGGAGCACTTGACAGATTAACAGGTTATGTTGCTCCAATCGGCATGGGCTTTGCACCTTCAAAGTATAAAGCGATGTTTCAAGACTGGGTGTCGCTGAGTTATGTTCTGAAACTAGACGGTCAGGAATAAGCTAAAGTTGACTGCTTCTCGTACTTAGGTAGCTGCCTGAACAACGACGGGAGTGCATCAAAGGGTATAACCTCCCGCAGGGCTTGAGCAG